CCCACGACCGACAAAAAAAAAAAAATGAATTTATAGTAATGTTTTTATGTCTAGTACATTTTAGTATTTTGTCCTTAACAATCTTTAGAGTATGATTATTCATATAAGTATTTTAGTCCTCTTTCTTTGAGGGGGGCAGTGTTCTAATCCTAGACTTAGGACCAGGGGACTATCCCTGAACTTTTTGGCTTAAGGCTAGCATTCTACTGCTTGAGCCACAGCTCCACTTCTGGCTTTTTAATTGGAGATAGTTAATTGGTAGTTCATTGGAGATAAGACTGTCACAGACTTTCATGCTTGAGGTGATTTTGAACAGTGACCCTCAGATCTCTCTTGTCTCCTGAGTAATTAGGATTACAGTTGTGAGCCACCAGTGCCTGACATTTTATGGATAAGCAAACTGAGATTCAGAGAAACTGAGTAACTGGATGAGATAGAGTTTAAGTCACTTGCCTAAAGTCACAGAGCTATTAAGTGAAAGACCTAACTCAAATTCAGGTCTCTGGAGTCAAAAGCCCACGCTTTATTACATAAAGCTCCCTGGGGAATGACACTTAGCCACAATGAGCTTTATTGTTCTCTGTGCTTATTTCCCATTTTAATTAGAAGAGTTTCCCCCACGTCCCTGCAGGACAGCCTTACCTCCACCAAGCTGAGTGAGGTTAATTGGAGCAGCAGGGGACCACTCTTCCTGGTAGAGGGAGCAGCCCAGCCTGCACAGCCTCCTCCTTACCTCTCCACCCTGCATGCTGGCAGGGGAAGACTTAAGGGGCGCTTGCTTTTATTATCTTTATCCCAGCCATGGCAGCCCCAGGCCTCACTGCGGCTTACTTGGCTTGCCAGTTCCTCTGTAGAAATGAGCCTGTAAATCTGGAGGCTGGGATTGGCCCTCCTCCTTGTGCTTAGGTTTGCTTGCTTCAGCCTAGAGATGAGGTGCTATAGCCAGAACCCACTTTTCCATTGCTTTCTGGGTCCTGGGAGTCACACTGGCTTTGAAACACCTTCAGTCTTTTTGCTCCATGTTGAGAGAGAGAGGCACCCAGAGAGGGCCAGGGCTTACAGCTACCATGGAGTTGTGCTAGGTGCTGACTGTTCCCGCAGGCGTGTGGCCAGCATTTGCAGCCATAGCTTCCTGGGGTGGCGGGAAGGGCTTGGCCTGTCTTCTTGTTCTACCTCTCTGTCTCTCACTCTCATTCTCTCCCTCTCTGACTCTCTCGCTTTCTCGTTGGTTGTGGGGCTTGAACTCAGGGTCTGGGCACTGTCCTTGAGCTCTTTTGCTCAAGGCTAACACTCTACCACTTTGAGTCACAGCTCTACTTCCTGTTTTTGAGTGGTTAGTTGGAGTAAGAGGTAAGAGTGTCACTGGGACTTTTCTGCCCCACTGGCTTTGAACTGCATCCTTAGATCTCAGCTTCTTGAGTAGCTAGGATCACAGGTGTGAGCCACTGGAACCTGGCAGCCCAGGAGTTTTTCTCTGTGGGGTTTTTCTTTCCCCCACCTCTTCCTCAGTGTGGAGGGTAGAGGCTGGGGTGGCACTGTCTTGGCAAGTGGTTACCAGGTATGTGGACAATAACAAGTGAGTTGCTGGGTGGTTGTCCCGAGGCTTCTGGGACCTCCAGCTTGGCAGGCTGTGAGGAGGTCTTTGGTGACCCAGTGGGAATTCAGCAGCATGCTAAACCAGGGTTCGCCCATGGAGACAGCGGGCTGGTGGAACACACACTTGCTTCTTTCTTCTCTTCATGAGTTGTATCATCCTTTTGAGCCTCTGTTTCCTAAGGTGTAAAGGAAGGAGATAATTTCTGCTCTGAGAACTGAACCACACAGTGTTTGTGAGAACAATTTTTTTTTTTTTTGCCAGTCCTGGGGCTTGAACTCAGGGTCTGGAGACACTGCCCCTGAGCTTCTTTTGCTTGAGGCTAGCACTCTACCACTTGAGCTACTTGGCCTTTTCTGTTTATATGGTACTGAGAAATCAAACCCTGGGCTTCATGTATGCTAGGCAAGTACTCTACCACTAAGACACATTCCCAACCCAGAGAACAATTTTGTGAGCAATCTCTCAGTGTTGTCTTGAAACCTAAATTCCCAGAGAAAACAAACCTGCTGTCTAGATCAGAGCCTCTGAAGACAGTGTGTTCTCTTGTTTGACATCTCCTCTAGGGAGGTGAGAAATAGGATCCAGCCTGGCTTCTAGCACCCCACTTAGCTAGAGGATGCTTACTAGCTGGTGCAGGTAGTTTTGTCTCTTAAGATCAACTAACCCCTGAAAGTTCTATTTTTTGGTGCCCCTCCTGGAGCTTGAAATTGGCCTGGGCACTGTCCCTAAGCTTTTGTGCTCAAGTTCTCTTATCATTTTGATCCACAGTACCATTTCCAGCACTTTGGTAGTTAATTGGAGATAAAAGTCTCATGGACTTTTCTGCCCAGGCTGGCTTTGAGCCGCAATCCTCAGATCTCAGTCTCCTAGGATTACATGTGTGAGCTACAGGTGTCCAGCCTTGTGAGTTCTCAATATCTGAACTCTTTGCCTCTGGTTGCTTGAGGTAGGAATGTCATTCCTTAGAACATTTAGGCTGGATTTATTATTTTTTCTTTTTGTTGGTCATGAGGCTTGAATTTGGCCTGGGCACTGTCCCTCAACTCTTCAGCTCAAGGCTAGTGCTCTGAGCCACAGTGCCACTTCTGGTTTTCTGGTAGTTTATTGGAGATAAGAGTTTCACAGACTTTCCTGCCTGGGCTGGCTTTGAAACTTGATTCTCAGATCTCAGCCTCTGAGTAGCTAGGATTACAGGCGTGAGCCACCTGAGCCTGGCTTGGATTTATTCTTAGAAATATTCCCAGCAGCTGGATTTTTTTAGCTCATGCAAATATTAATTGTTCAGAGTTCCCTTCTTTGGGGCCAGGTATAACTGAGGGTTGTCAGTTCTCTGTCCAGTCAACTCTGGAAAGGAAGTACTTACTGTTGGTAAAAGCAGAGCCAGCTGCCCCATGACTTTGGGAACTTGGGCTGTATGGACCAGAATCTCTGCCTGCCTGTGCTGTCTGGTCTTCCTAGGAAGAATAAGAACTGAATGTGTGCGTGCTCAGAGCCTTGCATGCATTGCTTAGCAGCACAAGGCTGACACTCTACCACTTGAGCCACTTTTTTTTGTTGTTGTTGTTATTTGGAGATAGGAGTCTTATAGATTTGTCTGCCCAAGCTAGCTTAGAGCCAAGGTCCTTGGAGCTCAGCCTCCTGAGTAGCTAGAATTATAGGCATGAGCCACCAAACTGTCATTTCTTGGGCATTTGTCACAATAACCCTTTGGGCTTGTACCACCATGGCATTGGGGCCTCACTTAGGTCAGGAGGCTCAGAGAAGGGCTGTGTCTTGTCCTAGGACCTTCTGGGTATGGAGAATACAAAGACACTTTGTTGAATTCTGTCAGACACCCAGCCTGGCTTTTTCCCTAGGTTACTTAGCTTAGCTTCTAACCAGAAGGCAAAAGAACCCCAGGTTAGCCTCCAACAAAACAAAATCTGATCTAAATGCAGTTGTAAGTGCTTGCCCCCAGTACAAGGACCTTCCTCTGCCCTGCCCCTGCCCCTGCCCCTGCAGGCCTGCAACTTGGTCTTTCTGGCCCTGTGGCCCCTCTGTCCTGAGGTGGACCCCTTGGTTCACCTGTCTACTCTGTCCTTGCCTCTGCAATGTGCCTGTCACTTGTTGCCTTGGCTAAGCAGAGCTGCTTTTCCAGTTCTTTAATCTGTGCATCCTGGTATTGGCTTAGAGCCAGTATCCAGCTCCTGCAGGACTGCCTGGCAGGGTCTTTGTCCCTTGCAGCCAGAACACAGTCAGATGGAACTAAGGTGCCACCTCCTTCCTGAAAGCTGCCCTAATCGGGCCTACAGTTGGTGAAGCCATCCTTGCTGGCTCAGCTCTGTGCTGCAGGCATTGTTGGTCATTGCTGGGGCCTCTCAGTGATGGAGGCTGAAAGGCCGGTGACCTCCAAGAGCTCAGGATGAGGAACCAGTGTTCCTGCTTAGATCACACTCTAAGTGCTCACTGGCAGCCTGGGCCAGCAGGCATGGATGCAGGGCTTCCTGAATTCTTCAGAGGGAATGTCAAGTGTTCTGTAAGCCCAGCCCTTCCAGCCAGTGTTGCTTTTCCCTGTTGCAGAGAAAGTCCAGCAAAGCAAAGGAGAAGAAGCAGAAGCGGTTGGAGGAGCGAGCAGCTATGGATGCTGTGTGTGCCAAAGTAGACGCTGCCAACAGGGTGATTCTCCTTTCCCCTTCCTGCCTTCTGGAACTTCAGCTGGGTTTTTCATTTGACTTCTTTCAGCGCCACCCTGTGGCAGACATGTGACACTACCCACCCAGCCTCTGCCTCTTTGCCCTAAGGCTGAATGTGGGCTAGTAATTGACTTTGGTGCTCCCTTAAAGGTGCATTCCAGGGAAAGTGACTGCTCACTGCTTGTACGGAGACTGGGGAAACTTTAGCTGGGAATTTGCATTTTGAGAAGGAAAGCTCAAATATGTCATACAGTTACATCAAATATGGCATACAGTTCTCTCATTCAATCTCCCGTCCCATTCAGAACATGTTATGTAACTGTCTTGGGCCTCCTCACCAGCCTCCGTTGTCCATGTGAGTTCAGAGCTGAGGCCAGTGGAGGCCGACGGAGGCCTCAGCTGTGAGAGAGGGTTACCTCCAGCCTGGGCCCTGGCAGCCTGAGCAGCAGGGCTTTTGGACAGGGTTGGCTCTTACAACTGCCTATCTGAGCTGCTTCTGTTTCCCTCCACAGCTTGGAGATCCTCTGGAGGCATTCCCAGTGTTCAAGAAATATGACCGGAATGGGTGAGTCTTATATGGTATTTCTTTTTTCCTTTTCTCATTTTTTTTGTAAAGATGATGTATAGAGGGGTTACAATTACATAAGTCAGGTAATGAGAACATTTCTTTTTCTTTTTTTTGCCAGTTATGGGGCCTGAACTCTGGGCCTGGGCACTGTCCCTCAGCTCTTCAGCTCAAGGCTCTCCCACTTGAGCCACAGCGCCACTTGCGGCTTTCTGGTGGTTAATTGGAGAGAAGAGTCTCACGGGGAGTTTTTCTGCCCGGGCTGGCTTCGAACCACGATCCTCGGATGAGATCTTATGTGAGCATCTTAGCTGGGCTGAGCAGCGGTCGGGCGCCCGGCTCCGGACCGCGGAGTCTGGGAGGCGAGGGCCGTGGGCCGCGCTCGGCCCGGCGCTGGGCACGGCTCGTGAACGCCCGGGGCGGGCGACGGCGTGGAGGGTGCGGGGTCGCTGCGCTGACGGACGGTGAGGGGACGCGGCCCGACTCGGCTTGGGGTGCCTTTGATCCGACCCCGCCCCCTTTCCTCGGCGGCACCGCGGAAGAAAAGGAATTCCAAAAGTCAAAATCTCCAAACCCTTCCAAAGACTCTCGGCGCCCGTGAGGACTCCGGAGAAGCCGGTGTTTCAGAGTTCTCGTCGCGATTCGTCGTCGGGGAAGGTGGCTGCAGGCGCGCTGGGCGGGGAGGCCGCGCGGCCACCCACCGGCTGCCCAGCCGGGAGCCGCCTCAGGCTGGGGCGCGAGCGCGGCGCGACCGTTACCATAGCTACAGACGCAGCCTGGTTAGGGAGGGGGCGTGGCCAGGCCTGAGACGTCATTCTCTGCGCGACGCTCGTCGGAGCCTCCCGCCTTTCTGGTCCGAGACCCTCTGTCCGCTCCGGGAGCGCTCCACCTGCGCGCCTTCTCCCCGCTTGCACTCTCCGCCCCTCTCCGCCCGCTGCCCGGTTTTGCGCCGGCGCAGTGCTCGCCAGAACGCGCGGGGGAGCCCGCGAGGCGCATGCGCTGTGTGGGGCCCGCCGCTTCAGAGTCGCTGCTGCCGGTGCCGCCGTTGCCGCCTCCCTGCCGGCGGGTGAGCTGAAGAGGAGCCGAGGGTCGCCACCGCCGCCATGGGGGTGAGTGAGGCAGGGAAAGGAAGCGAGACGTCCAGAGGTGCTTCCCGTTACCCTCTTCCCGCTCTCCCCCATTGTTCCTTGAGCCCCTTCACGTGACCCCGACCCCTCCGACCTCACGTGACCCCCAGCCCCCACATGACCCGACTCCCCCATTCTTAGGGACCCCACGTTCGGCCTAACCCTGGAACCCCCGGGGAGCCTCCTCCGCGGCCCCTCCCCCCGGCGCCCCCCGCCCCTCGTGTCCCGCCGCCCCTTCCTGCCTCCGGGATGCGTCCCGGGCCTCCCCGCCTCCCCGCTCCCGCGCAGTCCTCGACGTGACCCCGCCGCTGCCGGGGTCACCCGTCCCTCGGCTGTCACCGTCCCGCGGCTTCCCGCGGCCGAGCCAACGCGGGCTCGGAGGGAACCGAGGCCGAGAGCCAGGAAGGCGCGTGGCCAAGGTCACGCCGCCGCGGCGGGGGCGCCAAGACCCCTCCTCGCGGCC